TAACTTTTGAAAATGTTCCGGAAGGTCTGACACTTTTATATATATCTTAAATTAAAGCTAATGTAATATACTTTAATTTGAAAAAAAAAAATTTGACTTCTGGAATTGTCTTCACGGCGAAAATGGCTACCGAATGCTTTTTTCGTGTGAAAATTCTCGATTTTATTATTTATATTATATTTAACTTTATAATGCTATAACTTATTGAAAAGTTTATGGATCCGCACAATTTTTTTATGAGAAATAATATTTTTTAATAAACCCTTTTTCATTCGACATACTTTATCTTAATCGAGATATTAATAAGGAACCAGCAGATCAAGTAGCTTTTGGAATAAAACACCAATTTTTTTAAAATTAAACACTATCTAAAGATTTGCATCGAAGCGTTTATTTTTGATAGTGATTTTAATCACTGTCAGATATCATTATACTTGATCCAACTGTGTCACGTCACCACTGTGCCGCGACCTCCCTGTGCTGTGATTTTTTTAACGATACGTCAAATGATTACAATTCGTATTTAGTTGAAAATATTACCCTCAAAAATTGAAAAAAGTCCCTTAATCAAATAACAATAAGCTTAACCAGTTTTATCCATAAAAACAATTAAAATCATTAATTTTTAATATTTTTAAAGTATATTGTCGAATTAGATTTGATATTATATAATTTTACTTTGAAATTTATTAATTTTTTTACTCTATTTGTGCTACTATCAGTCTATAACATTCCAAATTTGTTCGTAACAGGTTGCTATATAAATCATAATCTAAAAAAAAATGATTTTTAGTTTTACCTGAATTTAACAATAGATGGAATAAAAAATTTACTGTAAATAGTNTTGTCCTTTAAAATGAAAGTTTATAATAATAAAAAAAATAATTTATTACCATAACTTTTAGCTCAATTTGCTAGTTTGAAATTGGCATCATTAAAGAGAAAAAATGGTATTGTTAAGATTAATATGCAATCAGGAATTATACAGGGTGTTCAGTAAGTCAGGAAACGGGTATCTATTGTTCTCATTGTTACAAACAATGAGAACAATAGATACCCGTTTCCTGACTTACTGAACACCCTGTATATTTCCTGATTGCATATTAATCTTAACAATACCATTTTTTCTCTTTAATGATGCCAATTTCAAACTAGCAAATTGAGCTAAAAGTTATGGTAATAAATTATTTTTTTTATTATTATAAACTTTCATTTTAAAGGACAAAAAAAAGTAGGTTAAAAATAATTACTTTTAACTTTTTATATTAAAAATGAATAATAATTTGAAAACAATTAATTATTAAAATGATATAATATATAAGTAAAAGAATTACTAATCTGGATATAATTAAGGAAATAGAAGTTGATGTTGCTTTTGTAATTATCCACCAAGTTGTTAGAATTAAACACTATTTACAGATTTGCATCGAAGCGTTTTTAATGAAGGTGATTTTATATTAAATCTATACTGGACTTATCTATGCCACGTCCATTGGCGTCCGCAGAGGGTGCAAGAGGGGGCGTTTACCCCCCCCCTGGACTTTGGAAATACATTTTAAAAAATTATAACCAATCTGATTTAAATTTGGAAAGGAATTATTTAGTAATGACTCATGAATATACAGGTGATTTTTTTATCATAACCCACTCAATTACTTACAGAATAATAATAATTTAAACATTTTTTTTTTTATTATCTTTAGTTACACATTATTCTTGAATTTTTAACTATGTAATACTTTTTAAGTTCATCCCTTATGCCTTGGAGGGGGGTCAACTTTGTTTTTTTAAATGGTAACACATATTTTTAATTTAATAAAATGTTTGAGTTTTTAATTTAATAGTAAATGGCATTTGAATTTCTAATATAACTTTATAAGCTTATTAGATATAAACATTTAAAGTTTCAAATTTTTGAGTTAATATATAGGTATAATACACATGGGATTGTAAATACAGGTAGCTAATTGGATTTTTATGACATTGCTGTCTCAGCCACGGATTGTATATTGTCAATTTTGACTATCAATAGATGTACTTTCTGTATTGTCAGTTAGTGTATTTATAAACTCAGAACAATGTGCCTTACTACAATTGATAACAACAATGCTGTGTACCTGCTAATATCGATTTTATAAAAAACCAATTAGCTACCTATATTTGTAATCCCTTGTGTATTATACCTATATATTAACTCAAAAATTTGAAACTTTAAATGTTTATATCTAATAAACAAATTAAGTTTTATTAAAAATTCAAATGCCATTTACTATTGAATTAAAAACTCAAACATTTTATTAAATTAAAAATATGTGTTACCATTTAAAAAAACAAAGTTGACACCCTTACCAGGCATAAGGGATGAACTTAAAAAGTATTACATAGTTAATAATTCAAGAATAATGTGTAACTAAAGATAATAATAAAAAAAAATTTTTAAATTATTATTATTCTGTAAGTAATTGAGTGGGTTATGATAAAAAAATCACTCTGTATATAATAATTATATATATATATATAATAATTATATATATATATATATATTTTGCAATTTTCAGTTAATAAACACTTTATTTAATGTTACTTTTTGGTATTTAATTTTTGTTGGCCCCTCCTTGATAAATTTCCTGTGGGTGCCCATGGCCACGTCCCCACTATGCCGCGACCCCACTATGCTGGTTTTTTTTTTTAAAATGTTATAGCAAATTAAGCTAAAAAAGTTACAATATTTGACAACCTTAATATTTACAATATTTTAAGGATTGTCCATTTACAGAAAATGGGAGGAATTCTCTCAAAACTTGGCAATGATATGTTTAACTAGTTACAATTTGTGATATTTTAATGTATCATTGAGTGAAATCAGTCCATTAGAAGTGGAATTTTCATATGAACAAATACATAAAAAAAAAAGTACTACACAATGAAATTAATATCTTCTCGGCTTTGCATCAAACTAAAAATAAATAAATGACAAAGGTTTTTGTGTGAATAACTATAGCATATATTTTACTATTAGGTGTCAAAGTATAGTCGAAAACATTTGCACAAAACATAAAAATATGTTTTTTTGGCTGTTAAATAAAGACAAAAAATATTTTCCCAAAAAATTTTTTTTTAATAATTTATACGTTAAAATCATAAAGAAAAAATTGAATAAATTTTTAAAAAATATATACAGGGTGATTTTTTTATCATAACCCACCCTATTACTTACAGAATAATAATAATTAAAAATTTTTTTTTTATTACTATCTTTAGTTACACATTATTCTTGAATTATTAACTATGTAATACTTTTTAAGTTCATCCCTTATGCCTGGTAAGGGTGTCAACTTTGTTTTTTTAAATGGTAACACATATTTTTAATTTAATAAAATGTTTGAGTTTTTAATTCAATAATAAATGGCATTTGAATTTTTAATGAAACTTAATTTGTTTATTAGATATAAACATTTAAAGTTTCAAATTTTTGAGTTAATATATAGGTATAATACACAAGGGATTACAAATATAGGTAGCTAATTGGTTTTTTATAAAATCGATATTAGCAGGTACACAGCATTGTTATTCAATTGTAGTAAGGCACATTGTTATGAGTTTATAAATACACTAACTGACAATACAGAAAGTACATCTAATGATAGTCAAAATTGACAATATACAATCCGTGACTGTGATAGCAATATCATAAAAAACCAATTATCATTATTCTATAAGTAATTGAGTGGGTTATGATAAAAAAATCACTCTGTATATTTACTAGGCTCCGTCTAGCGAAAATCCTACGGGAGTCATTAAGGGTAGATCACAGATTCCAGTAGGAGTACAGGACTACGCCGTGTACGATAGGTTTTTTACACTAAAGTATTACTTTACAATCAGTACGACAAAATTACAATAAACATTTAATTATTAAAATGAGTAAAATTTAAAAAGGGTCAATAGTAAAATGTAATAAATATACGGTTGGAAATTGTTTTCGAGGTCATTACAATAATATAATATTATTTCAGTATTACACTATGTTTGGTATCAAATAAATATATGAATACAATTGTATTATAAAGTTAAAGCCTATGTGTTATTATTACACAGAATTTTTATATTTATGTTTAACTCTAATGAACTAATCACCCTTTTAATGTTGTTACTCAAATACTATAGTATTAGTACCCGAAAATAACAAATGATTAAAAAACATATCCTATAACAAAATATCATGTTTTATCATATGACTACAAAAGAAAATATATAATACAAATGTGTATTCAAAAATATACATAATAATAAACATTTAATTATTATTTAGCACAACAGGTATACAAAAGAAAACTTTACAATAATTTTACATTTGTTTTTTTTTTATATATATATATATATATATGTATCAGCATCGCAACTATTGTGTATACACACACTAAATAATGTCCAAACAAGAACTATGGACTAAAAAAAAAAATAAGCTTATTGTGGACACAAAAAGGTAGCCTACGATTATCTAATGTTTAAGGTAACTTTATTAACAACTTTATTCGTCCGTTAAAATAAATCATAATTTGTGCAAATATATAAAATAAAATACACGACTTTCAAATAAATTGTAACTGTTTACACAAATTCGATTTTCCAAAAATTATTTCTATAAAATGTTGTTATAATTTAAATTATTTTATTAGTGATATAATCATTGTATCAATTGTTTTTATTTTACTTGCACGATTTTTGCATAAAATTTATTAACACAAATTAAACTAATAATTAGAAAAGTTTAAAAATTCGAAGATGATTGTAACTTATATTTTTTATTGTTTATTCATATTTAGTAACATTAAAAATGGATATTCGGATGATTCTATTATCGATAACATGAATCACTTGTTCAAGCAAAAGTTTTGGAAAACAAATTTATTAGCGTATGATTTTATTGTAAAGGATAAGCATGGAAATTTATTTATTATTGATGCTGAATCAGGAGAACAATATGTAACCGAAAATAACGTTAATGAAAAAATACGATCAGCTTATATGGTAGTACATTATTATTATTGTAATATGACTCGTGATATCGTTTATATGTTTAAAGATATGATAAAAACCAATGTTTCATTGACTATAATTAAAATGTGTCTAGATAAATTAAAGACGGTTTTTTTAAAATTGAAAAGTTCACTAGAATTGTTTTCCAGTCATTATACAGGTGATGATCTTCCAATTCTTATTCAAAATTCTATAGACGATTTGGAAAATAATACGGAAATTGCTTACAAGAAATCTTTAGAATCTACAAATATAGATGAAGAGAAACAGAGTGAAATTAGAAATAATTTTTTTCAAAATGTCAAGAAAATACACAAATCTCTCGTTCAGTTAGAACATGATTGTCCAAATAATAATTTGAAATACAATGATCAAGATGAGGTTCAAAAATTGACAGATTTTTTTGTTCAATATTTGAAGTCAAATAATTTAACTATGTTTGATTTTGAAGCTCATTGGTTTCACTTTGCTTTGTCAGAATATGATATAAATAAATTTTATGACAATATGGGTTTTAAATACAACGAAACAAATAATACAAGTAGTATTATTAAAACACAAGTAGAACCACTAGATTTAAGTAAAACTGATTTCAAAAAACTCAATCTGTAACTCGTCTTGGAAAACAAAATTGATGTTAGAATTATTTCTGTATAAGAATTTATCGATTTCTTCTCCATTAGAATTTATTATTGTAACTTTAAGTTTTATAATAATATTAAAAAAAAAAAACAAAAATGAGTATAAATATTTTAAATTATATAAATAATTAGTTTTTGGTTAATTTTTTAAATATTGACTTTCCATACCTTGCATTAATTTAAATTTAATTTAGTATACTAAATTTTCCGTTGTTATAAAGTTTAAATAAACGTTTACCCATATTAAGAGAATTTTTTTTAATTTTATCAAAACTTAGTCTCATAAATTTTATTTATTGAGATCAGCTCGATCAAAATAATATTTTATATTTCATTAGTTTTAAAACAATACTTATTTTGTGTTGTCTTAATAAGTGATTTTTAACACAAAAAAAAAATATATATATTTATATTTATATATATTAGGGTGTCCTTTTTAAAGTTTTGGAAATTCTTCGGGCTTATCCACCAAATTGTATACACATATATAAAAACCCATCACAGGGGGGTCGCGGCACAGTGNAAAAAACCCAGCACAGGGGGGTCGCGGCACAGTGGTGACGTGGCATAGTTGGATCAAGTATAATGATATCTGACAGTGATTAAAATCACTATAAATAAAAAACGCAAAACTTTAGATAGTGTTTAATTTTAAAAAATTGGTGGATTATTCCAAAAGCTACATGATCTGCTAGTTCCTTATTAATATCCTGATTAAGATAAAGTAAGTCGAATGAAAAAGGGATTGTTAAAAAATATTATTTCTCATAAAAAATTATGTTGATCCATACACTTTTCAATATGTTATAGCATTATAAAGTTAAAAATGTAAAAAATAAAATCGAGAATTTTCACACAATAATAGCATTTGGTAGCCATTTTCACCGTGAAGACAAAATAAAGTCCAAAATTTTTTTTGCATAATAAAGTAAATTACATTAGCTTTAATTTAAGATATATATAAAAGTGTCAGACTTTCCGGAACACTTTCAAAATTTAAGTTGAAAAAGTAAATTTTTTATGAAAAAGTTGTTATTTTAAATCCCCCCTGTGGGCAGGTAAAGGGTTAAACTTATAAAAAAAATATACCAAATGATAGGAAAAGACATCAAGTATCTATAAAAAAAGAAATTATATTGATTTGTTAATGTTTGAAAAAGTTATGACAGTTTTAAGTAAAAAATTTTTTAAAAATTTCGAAAATTAGCGATTTTTAAATTTGTAATTTTTTTGGAGATTTCCCTCATTTACGGGGAACGAGGGAAATTTTTCAATTTTTGAGGGTAATGTATTCTAAATACGATTACGATTTACGACTAAATACGATTTGTGATATTTTGACGTATCGTTGAAAGAAATCAGTGCGGCGAGAGCTGAGAAAAAGTGGTAACAGAAAAAAAAACACACCATAGTATATTCAATACCTTCTCAGCTTCGCATCGAAGATAAAATAAAAATACACTCTGGATCCATGCACTAAGCTCGTTGGATGAGCAAAACAATATATTGCTTAGATTTAATAAAAAAAAAATGATATCTTTTCATAAGTAATTGATTTTTCTTTTTGAAAAACTTTCTTAAAAAAGTTTTTTTTTTGTCGAAGAGCAGGATGTAATTTTTTTAAGGATTCCATATCAATACTGACGATTTTTATTTACATGGAAAAAAAATTGTATGCTCACTTAATGTACTAAATGACTCGACTGAGAAAGTATAATGGAAGATTTTCATGGCAGTTTAACAGTAAACGATTAAAAAGCTGAGTTACTTTTACGCTGTGTCCAAGAGCATAGATAATTATATCCTAATTGTAAAAAAAAATCATTAAAATCTAAATCTTATATATATTTTGTTATGATTTGGGAATTATTTTGAATTTAACATTTTAATTTTATGTAGCAATTTTTTTTTAATTTATACAATAATATTGAGAAATAAGTGTACTAATGAGTTTAAGCCAATCAAATACATATAATTATATCTATTGATAAATAAGGTATACTTTGCGTAGAGTATACCTATTATTTGTCATATACCAGATGATAACAAACAGAATCTAGCAATAAAACTCATATATTTAGTAAAAATAGTAATATGATCGAGCTATCTCAGCTATAGCAATAAAACGATCGGTTCAATATAATATTTACTTATTACTTTTATTTTGTAAAATTTAATTTTAAACAAATTTTGTATGAAGTATTAGGTTGTATCACATATGGGTTCGTCAAATATGATGAAATATTCGTAAATATGCCAATTTCGACAATTTTACGAAATATTATTAAGTATTTTGACATATTTCTGTACGTCTGGTTTGCAGTAGTTTACAGCTGGCAACCCAACACGATTGCGCAAAAGAACACTGAAACGAGTTGGTCATTCATACTGCGATTATAAAAAAGACCATCTTTTACAAACAATAACGCCCGTACGATCTATCGAAATGTTGTTTTTTATTATTACAAATCGTTGGTAGCACCCTACACTACATTACCAAAGCGATTGTAATTAAGACCGTTTAAACGAATAGGTCAACTGAGCTGTTTTACACGGAGGGTCCAACTCGGAACGACAGTATGACTGTGAGAGGTTTCCTCATAAATGGAAAGGAAAACTACAACCTCGAGTCAACGATAGCGCATTGGATGAGATTGGCTTGCCCAGAAACGTCATCAACAGACCTTGTCATGGCAACGTATGAGACTTTTTCGTCGTGACCATCGAACAGATGACTCTACGCGGAGGACTTAAACGTATTGCCAAAAAGCAATAGCAAGTTGCCGTATACTTATGTTATTGTCATAAATAGTTTTATTATCATAAAGACAATACCGATCTATTTATTTAAGAAAAGGAGAATGTGTTCATGATAATCAGTTATCAGACTTATTTTGAAATTTAAATCACCATAAATTTAATATTCACTTGTTGATATAGATTAAGATAAGGAGAGTTAAGTTGACTAATTCAGTATTTCTCAAATTTAATCATACATAGCATCACATCCTTACTAGCGAAAAATCTGCTTGTAGTACACTTTGTTACTCACTAGTGCTAACAAAAGTATGCCCACGTTAATGTTACTCCCACCTACCTTATCTATTTTTTTTTAGAAGTTATTTGTATATCCTGCCATTTATAATTTCAAAAAAAAAAAAATTGATCCTATCTTCTTTCTACTGCTTTAAAAATGTTTAAAAGAAAATAATGTTCAACTAGTTAAAAAACAAGAAAATGATCTTATTAAGAAATTAACCGATCTTTCACAATTTTTAAATTGGTATTTTGGTAGTTATTAAAACTTAATAAAATGGTTGGAGGTGATGGGCGGCTTAGTTATTTTTTATAACAAGGAATTTATAAACCGCTTTACTCTTGACGGTCTGATATAAAAATGTTAACATCTTTTAAAATTCTGGTTCAAAAGTTGATATTGGTCAGTCAATTTTTTAGTGTGATCATTTTTTTTTTTCATAAGCTATTCAAATATTATGTTTTTATTTAAATAAATTAGAACCAGTATCTATAAAAGTGACAACTTCATTAAAATGAACTTTTGATAATAATGAAAGTGATGATCTTTCCAGTATTGTTACCTATGTCATTGTTAAAATACAAAATTGAATTAATAATTTATATTAAAAGAGTTGTCAATGATAAAAAATTATGTAAAACTATACAAGATTTGAATATAAATATCAAAGCGCTTTTTATTTAAGTTAATATTTTTTTAGATTGTAATACAAAAGTTACATTGGATGAAATAGATGAAGTAATGGATATGAAGCAATTATGAATATATTATAATGATCCAAAATGATGTATTATTAAGAAGTTCAATGGTACTTGTTATATATTATAAAAAGGGATTTATTAAATGTGCATAGTTTTTTAATGGTATTTGAATATAAATACTACAGGAAGCTGTTATATTATACGCATCGATTTTATTTAAACTTACTGTCAAAAAAAATATAAAGACGAGCCACAAAGATTATCCAATACGATAACTTTTAACGTAGTAATAATATTGGTACTATTTTTAAAAAATAATTCTAGGTTTTTAACTACATGTTTTGTAGTTAAATTTATATAGAATGTTGAAAATTGATTTTTGATCCTGTACATTTTACAGTATTAACTGTTATGGAGAAAAAGATAAGATTATAAGAAAAATGTTCACATTAATAATTATTAATTATTTAATTATAAACCAACAAATATTCTTGATTTAGATTATAATTATATCTATGAAAATTACCATTGCTTGGTTGAATTTATTGGTTAAACGTTGACACCAATTGAATTGAAATTTCTCACGTTACATAATTTTTGTGGTAGCATATTAATATGATGCTATATACAGTGACGAGCAAAAGTGAACACTAATAAGAAAATTTTCAGAAATAAGGTTATAAAAAAACAACACATGTATAATTATATTAATCAAACAAACAAATGTATTTGTATAACAAAATTAAAGTTTATTAGCTGAAAAAATACAAACAATAAGTAGCGAGTTTATAGAAAATGAATTTTTAAACGTACTTTATTTTGCACCGGTAATTATTATAAATATATTCTAGCGTTAATATTTTGTCCACAAGCCTTTAGCTTTTATCACTGCTTCCATTCTTCGTGGCATTCTGTTGACCAATGACTCGCAGTCGTCCACATCAATTTTTGTCCATTCTTCTCTAATTCTTTCCGACAAATTGTCGAGTGAAGTCGGTGGAACTTGGTACTCACTACATAATTTGTTTTTTAAATATGCCCAAAAATTTTCTATTGGGTTCAGATCGGGACTTTGAGCTGGCCAGTCTATAATTTTAAATTTTTGATTGGCAAGTCATTGTTTAACGTATTTCGCTGTATGCTTGGGGTCATTATCCTGTTGGAAAATGATTTCATTGTTTGGTATTGGCATTTTTGCGACCATACCTTGAAAATTTCTTGATAAAATG